CCAGGGCTGAGGAGGGGCCTGGCCAGGGCGTGCCCAGGGCTGAGGAGGGGCCTGGCCAGGGCGTGCCCAGCAAAGGGGCTTCCTCACAATGGTTGTCGAGCAACAGAGACTCCTCCCAGGGAAGCAGCTGGCCAAGAGGAGGGACCACACAGCAAAGGTGAGTTGAGGCAAGATGACAGCTACCCAGAAACACTACCTCTTCACGCCAGAACCTCACTATGTCCCTGGGTAAGCGCTGGACGCCGGCAGGGGGCTGGCGGTGAGGGCACCCAGAGTGGGTCTTCAGGGAGCGGGCAGGGCCCAGGCCTCCCCTCCCTGCTGGCGGTGTGAGTGCCGTGGCAGGTGGGCAGCGTGTCAGAGCAGAAAGCCGGGGACAGCCAGCAGCGGGCGGAGGCTGGCGGGAAAATGCCTGACACTCACACCAGAGTACTCTACACGCTAAAGACGAGATAAGCACCCAGAGGCCAGGCTGCCTCGCGGGGCAGCCCCCTGTAAACCCCGACCACACCCTCCACGGAGTGTGCGCACCCACACACCACACTGTGAGCGAGGAAAAAGCGCCCAGGAACCAGACCTGACTTCCCAGTAGTTCTGGGGGCCAAGGTGGGGCAGGAGAGCCTGAGGGAGGGCTCCGAACCCCCACTGCCCCCCACCCCGCCACGAGATATGCCCACAGCACCTCCCACGTGGTTAAGTGTCACTCAGCTCAGCCCTCACTTCCACCAGCAGCCCTCCCGCCTGCCTCCCAAATCCTGGTCCTGTTCCCTGACTCCTGGCCTCCTGGTGGCAAAGGTCTGAGCCAGATCCCCGCCAGGCCTTCCCACGGCGCCACCTTGCTGTGTGCAGCAGGCCTCCCGGTGCCTGGGCAGGACCCTGTGGCCAGCCCCGTCCGTGCGTCCAGGCATTCCGTTCCATCGCCTCTGCCACCTGCCAGCCCCTCGCTGCCGTCCGATGGTGGTGATGACACGGCACGTTCGGTGCTTGGCATGTGCTGCCCATTCAGCCTCGACA